GGGGGCTGCCCGGGCAGGGCCGCGCTCGCCCGGGACTCTGGCCGCTGCCAGTGCTTCCCGCCGCCGGGCGCCCCAGGCGAGAGCCCTTGGAGTCTCATTGAGGGCCGCTGCGGGCGTTGGTGGGGGGGCAGGGGGGAGCGCCGGTGCTGAGCACCATCGGGCAGGGCGCTGAGAACGGGGCCTGTGCAATCATTAAAGCGAGGGGAACGCGGAGCTGCCGTCGGATCCAACAGTCCGCGAACTGGGGACGCTTAGTGCGACTGCTAGGAGGCTCCTTTAAAGGAAGGTGCTGGGTTGCATAACTGGTAGTGAACTTGAGGAGGCAGATAGGCTCAGAAAAGTGAACATAGGGAGGGTCAGGAAACTGAGTCAACAAATTGACGGGTAAGGGATCTGTAAGCAGATGTTGAAGTGAATGGACAGCAATTCCAGCACCACAAATCTCGCAGCTGCGCGTGCTGGAGAGTATGAGAGGATTGTTTTAGAGACAGCGGCTGGGCTCGTCTGCTGTCCTAGAGTAGCATCTGCTGTTGCCACTGTCGGAGGCAGAGTACTGGGCAAAGGGGGCTGCTAGATCTGACCCATTTCTTTATATGCTCCAAAAGAAGCAGGACTTACACTGGTTTCTGGCTGTACGTGAGGATTTATCCTGACCTATAAAGAGATGCTTGACCTGCTGGCAGAAAACAGTTTGGAACAGTAGGTGAATTTAATTTTAGTAGCATTGCAATGGATATAGGAGTAATTAGTCTTTAGAAAACTCGGAATGTTCTGGAAGCAAAGAATGACAAAAAAAATTACGTTAATTACTAAGGAGGTTTTATGCTGCATTAAAATAGAAAAAAGTTGGTCAATTATGTTAATCAGTGACAGATTTCTAAAGGTAATAAGTAGTTCTTTACAGAAAAGATTAAGCATAATCTGAATGAAGTCCATAAGAGCACTGACAATTCAGCGTGATAGGATTCTGTTAAACCTTGTGTAAGAATGAGCTTTCCTCAGGAGGAAAGCAGTTCTTCCTTGATAAGGGGCTGTTTTTACCTTATTTGGGGAAAGATGGAGAAAGGTTAAGTGGAGATAACACAACTCACTGACACGTTTAGCATTAAAAATATAGTCCTTTATTTGACCATACAATTCTGGCTTCTTTCATTTGTGTATATTTAACAAGGTCCCTCCTGCTTTCAGTCTTTCTGGAAGAGAATTTTTACTGTTCAGGGTTTCACTGGTATCACATAGTCTGCGATGAGGTAAGTGAGGAGTTGGTACTGAGATTACTAAGAAAGATGACTTACTGAGGGGGTTTTATCCTATGTCTAATGGAATATTATAAGAGACTAACGTTACGTAATAGTCTGCAATATATGATTTTAATATCTAATTCTGTCATCTTCTGTTAATGTTTTTGTTATTTACTACACCATTATTTTAACTCTGACAGCATTCATTTTGTTTGAGGATGTTTGCATTGTTTTGAACACCGGAATCTTTTTCAGAGATCATGAAAACACAGCTTCAGGCTTGCTGCAGGATCACTATCTCGATTCATCTTGGAGAACTGATAACAGTCTTGTAAGTATTTTTTAAACGAATGGTACTTCTAGAAAGGTTATCAGAAATTCTGTTTTCTACATTCTCTTCCCTCCATGTACATGCTCGTTTAGGTGTACAAAACAAAACAAGTGCTTTTTGTTTACTTTTAGAAACTATTATATATTCTTGATACTCAAGTAACCATGTGACAGAATTCAAATATTAGAACATATTTGTATTGTTTGCAGCCATGGACATTGGACAGCAGCATTAGTGAAGAAAACAGAGCTGTCATTGAGAAAATGTTGCTGGAAGAAGAGTATCCTTTTGCTGATTTGCTTGTATGTTTTCCTGTGTAACAACAGAAAACCTCCTCTTTTCTAAAGGAACTGGACAAATCTTTTCTTGTTAGGGTGACTGAAGCACTGTCAGCTTGTAGGTAGATTGCAGAAATCAAGGAGGACCCCTGAATTAATCACCTAGCTACCTGCAGCTTCATCTGATGCTTCTGATTCTTCAGAAAATTACTCCAAAGCCTGTCGGATTTAAGCTGGCACTGGCACCTAATATAGCAGTATTTGTCCCCACTTCAGCAGCTTGTTCAGTGCTGCCTCCAACATTGTGCTGATGCAGTTGCTTGTGTAGCTTCATAGTGAACCTGATCAAACAGCTGAGCTGGCTAAAAATAGCTAGTTCTTTTTGCTGAATTATTCTTCTCTTGGACTGGTTTACTGTCAAATTTTGTCTGGCTACATTCATGCTTCTGCCAGCATGCAAGATGAAAACGGGAAGGAACACAGCTGGTGCACTTCTTTCTTTTTTCTTTTTTTTTTTTTTTTTTTTTTAAGTGATGTTGGCTTACATAGTTTTACCAGTAGTAGCATTTCTGGCGTAAGTTGACCTTGCAGACTAGGTAGGTTATAGCAACAGTAATCGCAGCCTAATTTATTTTCATGCTCTTTTTGTAATTGAGTGTAGTAATATACAGTAACAGAGGAACAAGAAAATAAAGCAATTGAATTTTTCCTAATAGAATTAATTACTGGGGCTTAATTTGAAAATAAATAAGGTATCAGTACAATGTATTTTAGTATGTTTTCTAAGTCAAAAAAGAAGAATGCTGTTGTAGAAACAGGATGCCTAGTTTGCTGCAAATAAAGTGAGCACAGGGGTTCTGAAGTCAAAGTCACTTCCTTATGCATTAAACTAGTAGGTGTGTGTGAAATTTGTTTTGAAAGCAGTGCAGTATTTGCTTCTACAGCTGACTAATTATGAACCAGTATAATTGTGATGGGTTGACCCTGGCTATATGCCAGGTGCCACCAAGCCGCTCTATCATGCCCCCTCAGCAGGACAGGCGGGGAGAAAATGAGATGGAAAAGAAAAAACTCATGGATCAAGATAAAGGCAGGTTAATAAAAGCAAAGGCTGCGCGCAGTAGCAAAAGGAAAACAAAGATTTTATTCTCTACTTCCCCTTAGCAGGCAATGTCCAGCCACTTCCCAGGAAGCAGGGCTTCAGTACACATAGCAGTTGCTCTGGAAGACAAAACATCATAAAAAACAAACGCTCCCTCTTCCTCCTCCTTTCCCTTAGCTTTTATCTCTGAGCTGACGTCATATGGTATGGAATATTCCTTTGGTCAGGCTAGGTCAGGTTTCTTGGCTATGTCCCCTCCCAAGATCTTGCCCCCTCCCAGCCCACTGGTGGTGGTGAGGGAACGTTGGAGATGCAGCCTTGGTGCTGCACAGTAGCCAAAGCACTGCTGTGTTACCAGCGCTTCTTCCAGCTACCAGTAGAAAGCACAGCACTACAAGAGCTGCTATTGGGGAAAATTAACTCCATCTCAACCCAACCCAATACAATAATTTATATGATTATTCAAATTCCCATGTGTACAAATATTTCTGTTTTGAAAACTTACTTAGTGACTATTTCAGATATTATTTATCTCATAAATCACTTTCTGAAAAAATATGGGTCAATCAAAAGGAAGTGGAGAAAAGATCTATGAAAAGGTAAGCTGTGTTCATGGAAAAAATTCTCGGTTAGATAAGAAGAGATGAAAAGTCCTTCCAAAATAAGTTTACTTGCTGAGATATGCAACAGCATTACAATTATTAATTTTTATTTTCATGTTTTTTATTTGCAGCCCACATAAGAAAACTGGAAAAGTCATGTACGTACACTTTAATGATTGAGTTGCGTTGCGTTTTTAAGTGTGTTGTCTGATTTTTCTTAAGTTACTGGACACTATTAAAAGAAGTTACAGTTCCTTAGTTCCTTTTATTTGGCTGCACAAAATTATTTAAGAGGCCTTTCAGTGCAAAGAAATATTGTTGTGTGTAATAATAGGCCTGTAGTAAACTAGTTTGTTTTCTGTAGCACAGTGGTCCTTATGGAAAAAAACCTTGTTAATTCTAGTTGGCTTTCTTGCCTGAACTCTTGTTTACTGCTTCCATGTTTTTCTGTACTGTTACTGATGAATGTTGTGTTGCCTTGAATCTTCCTTCGTGATGGAGAAGCTGACGTGATTTTTGATATTGTATTTATCAGCCACATTCATGTTTAAAGCGATACCTTGAGTTTTAAAGAAAATGGGGGATAGTCCTCCTGTCAGAAGTTGCCTTCAGTTACTGGGACTTGAGAATATATATTTTTAAGAAAGCACTAACTTATGTTTCCTATTTTTCTAGGGTGCGATCACCTACAAAATCAGCTAGCTACTCGTTAAAGTGGACATCAGAAGAAAAAGAACTGTTTGAACAAGGATTGGTAAGTTTGTTTATATATTTAATATTTTGAATACAAGTCATTAGTTTAAATAACAAAATAATAATTAATAGAAATAAGCATGTTATATTTATCTGCTTCTGCACTTCTAATGTGGTGAAAATAATTGCCATGTACTAAGAGTGTAATGATAAATCAGATTTATATCAATGAATCCCCCAAAATGGCTTTGTTTACCAGATTTTGTTCACATGAGGCTGATTACAATTTGAGATCACAAAATATCTCAAATATATAGCTTTATGAATTGTACAATCGTAATGCTGTAGTTAACTACAGGAAGTATAGTGTGTGATTAAGGCAAATCAGCTAATACAGTGAAATCCTTTAACAACTGTTGTAAGGTCTTTAGAGAGTATATGGTTGTACAGTGCTAAACATAATAGGTTTTCCTTTGCCAAGTACAAATTCATTGCAGTAGGATTCCTTGGGTTAGCAGGCAGCATAATTTACCGCGTGCTTGAATTGGGTGAAGGAGATCCTCTACTTCAGAATAGCGATAACCTACTGTTGGATGTAACTTTTCTTGGTATAATATGAGGAGTGAGGTTCTTCACCATAGGTTTGCTGTACTGTTTGTGCATTTGTAGTGAATAACTGTGTTTTTAAACTCTTCTGTCACATAAAGTGCAATCTCTGGAACGTTAGAGTTTGGGTAGCTTAAATGTGCATTGTTGTACTAGGTGAAATTTGGGCGCCGGTGGACGAAAATTGCCAAGTTGATTGGAAGTCGTACTGTTCTACAAGTAAAGAGCTATGCTCGGCAGTATTTCAAGAACAAGGTAAACAGAGTATCTCTCTAGTTAGCAAAAAGGCTGCTTGACAAGAATGCTGTGGTACATGTAGCTTTATTTTAACCTGTCTTTTCAGGGTACGTCAAAGTTACGGTTTAAGTACGTAGTCTGTTTATTCCCATATGTAGAAACGTGGAATGCGCTTATTTGCAGATTTAAATATGAAGTCAGACCTGATTTCAAATTCCTAGAATGACTTCAGTATTCTTATTGCTGGTATAACTAAACGTAGTATAATTGTAGTCTCTCTTACTGTTGGTTGTTAGTCTGAAAATACTTGTTTTCCACTATGCAGCTGTTCCAGCTGTGTATTGTAGTTTTAGCTTTAGCCTCATTTGAGACTTTGAGGGCATTTAAGAAGAAATTACTACTGTCTGGTTTTTGTTTTGGTTTGGTTTTTTTTAACAGAAATACATGTTAGTTTACACTTGGGCTAGAAGTATACCTATAATGCTTTGTAAAAGTCAATTGCAATGGATTAAAATTTATTAAAAGGGTAAGATGAGGAAGAAACACTTCAGAATGTGTGCTGTTCAAGTAAAATAGTTCTGACTATTTGGGAGGCAGAGGGGATTGTTTTGTTTTTCCCTTTTAAAAAAGTATTTTATATTTTCCTAAGGCAAAAAATGGTGATTCTGAAAAAGAAGAGCAAAGTCAGATTGGTAGCAGTCTTCCCATTGAAGATGGGATAAGGGTAGAAGCATGGTCATCTGGAAATTTGAGAGGCCGTGCAGACCCCAATCTGAATGCAGTGAAAATTGAAAAGCTGTCAGATGATGAAGAAGTAGACATAACTGATGACGTGGATGAACTACTTTCTCCTACCTTCCAGCAAGAAACTGGAAAATCTGAATTATCGGTTATTTCAAAAAGCCCAGTTGAAGAAACAAAAGGAATGGAACATGGTTTTTCATCTGTTGGACACAGTTCTGCGATTTCTTTACCTAAAGAAGATCCTCCACATACCAAGCAAGATACAGTGGATGCATTACTATTTCCAGGTGTTGCAGCAACATGTTCTCAGCACCTGAATGGTGATAAATCTCTGAATTTAGATTACCAGCAATACAATAATTTCATTGAGAAAGCTGAACAAGGCAGACTAGTACCATCTCGTGGTACTGGGCAAGTAACTGATCAGGAGCTGAATGAGGGGCAGAGAGACCTGGCTGATAACGGGTTGCTTTTTCCTTCTTCCTGCCAAGCGGATGAAGATCATCCAGAAGAAGCAGAGGAGCTTAAGGCACCCGATCAAGAAGTGGAGGTTGACAGAAGCATCATTCTGGACGAAGAAAAGCAAGCTATTCCTGAATTTTTTGAAGGGCGCCAGGCCAAAACACCAGAGCGTTATTTGAAAATTAGGAATTATATTTTGGATCAATGGTAAGATATATTTACTAATATAAGTGATTAAGATAACTCATGTCTGGCTTGGTTGTAGTTAAAACACTACTTGGTACTAATATACTTTTGAATGGAGTAAAACTAATTTTATGGTAGCATTATAAAGATGGCCAGTGAGCAGCACTGATTATTAATGCTGCTTTTGCATCTTCCCAGTTTTTTCTGGCATACTGGAAGCTAAGCAATGAAAATACTTTGAAGCATTATGAAAAGGAGTGTTATATATCAGAATAGGCTGCATCCATTTTGGTTACATTATTTTCTTCCAGTTTTTGTCATCCTGTATGTACCAATGTATATATGGTTTTAATAAATGGTTCCTCAATATAACTGATTAAAGTAACTTGGTAATGAGATCTGTAGCATTGTAATACTGCCTTTACAGAAGGGCAGCTAGAGGAAATAGTCTGTGCTAAAGCAAATACTCTTGACCAGAAGAATACTTCAAATTAAGAATCAATTTGGAGTAATGCTTGTACACTTGAATATTTTATATTCCATCTCCAAAGAATCACTTTAAGGAACCTTAGTAATTTGTGGTAGCAGGCTCAATATACAGTTCGTTCTGTTAGCAATTTTGTTTTGTGTGCTTGTTGTGTTGGCTAGCTTGCTTTTAAGTAGAAAGAATTGCTGAGTTTAACTCCATTCTCATTCAGTTGTCTTGTATATTGACAGCTTTTTCTAGTTGCAAAGAGACTTTAAAATTCCATACCAGAGAAGTGTTGAACTGAAACAATTCAGTATCAGTTTAAAAGCAAGTAATAAGCACATACAGAGTGAAAACAGGCTTATTTATTACACGAAGGAAGTCTATGATTATATGAGCTGTTTAGACTAATTAAGGCAGATTTTCTTACATCAGTTTAACAGTATCGTAGTACTACTGAGTAGTTAATTGCTTCCTGGCACCAGTTGTTTTGAAGAGTTTGTTTTAATGCATGGAACATAAGTTTCACTCTTCATAGGTATGAATAACCCTAAAATAAATTGTATCTGTTTTGTGAAACTTACATTTTTGCTGTGGTTGCCCTGTGTAGTGTGTGCATTGCGGGGGGGAAAAAAACCACTGCAGTCTCTGTCTTAATCTCAGCTTAAGTCATGCAATTCCTTCCCCCTGCCATGATTTGTTTTACTATTTGCCAATGTGCTATACTTTATTTTAGGGAGAGATGTAAACCCAAATACCTGAATAAGACTTCAGTACGTCCAGGGCTCAAGAACTGCGGTGACGTTAACTGCATTGGACGGATCCACACGTACCTGGAACTAATAGGAGCAATTAACTTTGGCTGTGGTAAAGACATTTTTATTGATCAATTCAGAACTTAAATTCTAATCAGTTCTTGCTGAACACATCTATTGTTGACTGTCAGCTTTTTTATTAAAATGAATATTTTTATGCGAAGGGTAAACATTAAGGTTAGTAGATGTCTTTGAAAGAAAAGTTGTAAGTTCACTGAAGCATGGATGACTGCGCTTAATCGGCATCAAGCATCCATGTGGATAATCTTCTAACTTCTCTGTACTCTTAATGTCTTAAATAGAAGTTGTTACATTTAAGTGTTGTGGAAGATAACTTTTTTTTTTTTGCACTATATTTAGTATAGTCATGTTCCAACTTGGATGGCTGTGGCCTATTTTGGAATTAATGCTGAAGGACTACGTAATGTTAGGGTGTACTGCTCACACAGAAGGGTACGCGTTAATCCTTACTAGGAAGGACCTTCTGAGCAGATTGTCTCTCAATGACCTGTGAAAATCTAGATGAGTTTGTAACGTGCTTACAGGGTTATGGATTTTTGGTTTTACACAAGACCTTTTCTTTTTTTTCTTCTCCCCTTCCCCCCCTCATGTTTACTGCACACCAGATGGTGGGGTGGTTTTTTGTTTTGTGCTTTCCTGTGTATCCAGTGCTGGATTTTTTTTTTTCTTATACCTGCTGCATCTGAAATTCTGTCCTCCCTCCATGTAAGACAGAATTCAAGTTTTTGTTTCTTTTCCCATACTGAATTACAACTATTTCCTAAATAAAAACCAATGTTTTCATCCTCAGGGCTAGTTTTTACAAGATTCAAATGTTAAAATTAGGTGACAGGTTAAAAGTATATGTGTACACCTATAAGTTACTGTTGGTTTAGTCTCTCGGGATTGATTTTGGTCACCTAGGAGAGGAGGAATGGTCTGCAAATACATTTTGTCTGAACTCAATGAAACAGTAAGGAAGGAGGTTTTTTCCTTTCTTAAAAATGCTGTGGTGGTGGGAGAGGGCTACATAATCACTTAGTAACACAACCATCAAGAGATGTCTTTTCACTGTGGGGGGGTTTTGTTGCTTTTTTTTCTTTATGGTGCTTCTCGTTACCACTTATCTATGTCATTCTTGGCTCTGTACCAGAAATACTTTACTGAAATACAGCGTATCCCTCTCCTGTATCCTGTAGAACAGGCTGTCTATAACCGACCCCAACCAGCTGATAAAACACGGTCCAAAGAAGGCAAAGACACAGCGGAAGCATACCAGCTTGCTCAGCGATTGCAGTCCATGGTACGTTTTGGTGAGGGAGGTGGGGGCAGCAAAAAACATTCAGGGTGGAGAAGGTCTTCTCAATTTTTATTTTCAAACTAGGGTATTTTGGGAAATTTCTTCTCTCATTCAGTTTGCGGTTTCATTATAATGCCCTGTAATTTGAGTGTCAGTCTAAGTGCATATTCTGCTATCTGACAGCTGTCTGTCCTAACTTCTGCTGTCTTACACGTTTGATTTCTGTTCGGGTACTTAACTATGACTGTGTTTCAGTCTTTTCCCTGCAGCCCCAACCCCTTCCTCCCCACCTCCCCATAATTTATTAGCTAATATTAGCCAGAAAATAGTGGAGTGTGGTGGTAGTGTGTGATTTAAGTTGCTTGCATTTTAACTGTTTAAGTATAGTAGATATATGATATGACTTACTGAGAGCCTTATGCACACAATTAGTAGTAACTCCTTTCTAACTACATGAATTACCCAGGCTTGCCAGATTTAATTTTCATATTCACATTTAGTGTAGCTTTTTTAACTACTTCATAGCTAAGCAGATTACTTGATGAGAGAAAAACTAAATCAGTCCCACTGGAAAACAAAAATTGAAATAAAGAACTGTAGCATACACTGCATGTAAACATACTGGTTTTATAGCTTCTTATATTGTCTGAGCTATAATTCAGAGCTGGATAATAATGCACTGTTGCTGTCAGAGATGATGATCCATGGAGCATCAACCAGGTGTAATGCTTTACAGCCTTAAAAACTGAAAACTTCACTAATGATATTTCATAACAGATTGTGAACTACTTATTCTACAGAACTCCAGGGTGTTCTTTCTTTCTGGAAATACATCACGGTGTTAGTAACGTTCATGTGGCAGTAACCTTTTGGACAGTGTTCTTATGGCTGATTAAATTAAATAAATGCAGTTTTTCCAGGAGTATGATCCTTGACTCATGTTGAATTGCTTGCTGCAGCGTACAAGACGACGGCGAGTGCGAGACCCTTGGGGAAACTGGTGTGATGCAAAGGATTTGGAAGGACAGACATTTGAGGTAACCCTTCTGTGTTCTAAACTTTCCTTACAGAATTAATTCTTGCTAATTGGTAGCAGGTGGTGTTGCATCAAATATACCAGGAAAACAGTTGTGTAATAGTACTTAACCTCTCTTTGTGGAAGCAATAATTTGAAAATAATGTAGCAGCTGTTACATCTTTATGCTGCTGATAAATAAAGCTGTACTACGGTGTTCATAAAGGTGTTCATGTTGTGAGGGTGTATGGCCCTACACTGTTTTATGTGTATAAGGCTCCTTGCCTTGTCTTGTCAGAGATTTCATGACCCTTTGTTTTCAGTTAATGGCCTTACTAAGCTAACAGCAGGGGGTAGGGGAATAAGATTTAAATTATTTTTTCAGTACTGTGTGGTTTCTTTGGGCTTATAATGCAGGAGTTCCTAGTATTAATTCTGCTACTAGCAATAGCCCCAGAAATGCTGTGGTTTATAAAGTGCTTAGAAAAATCCATATAATTTTAAATATTTTATAGAAGACTTGTAAAAAAGAAAATATCCACTTGTCCATTTCAATTTCAAATGATACAAAAAGTGAAGAACTGTAAACATCCTCTTTTCTTGTATAAAAAAACATTTAAATTTGCAGCCTTCAGTAACAAGTACCTGTAACAGTTACTTCCATTATGTTATAATGCCATACCTATGTTTGAGTAACTGTGGTTAATAATTCTAACACTTTCTGCGGAATACATATTTGGACAGAAATTAAGTTTGAAAACACTCATCCCTAAAGAGGTGTCGTGATAAATTCTGGCCACAGGTTGTAATGGCAGATTTTCTACTTAGTTATGACATGCGCATTTACGCATGGTTTGCGATATGGGCTGTGATTTTACTGAATTTGATTGACTTGGGGGATGTAGGAATTCTCTCATGGGGCATCTTGTGGACTAGATCTCTGATTGTCATTACTTCCATGCTGTTGGTTTTTGCTAGGGCTATCACCCTCTATCTTGAGTAGTCCTGTAACACACAAATTGATAGCATATCAAGAGGACACTGATGTCAAGGGTTGGTTTTGGAATCACTACTGGAAGAGCACTTAAGACACTAAGACTGATTTCTTTTAATTTTTTTTAGCATCTGTCTGCTGAAGAATTAGCGAGAAGAAGAGAGGAAGAAAAACTGAAACCTGCAAAATCTAAAGGTTCAAGACAAATAAAAAGGTATTATTTGATGTACATTGTATTCAAATAGGTCTTCTAGAAATGAAACAAATGCTGTGGGCAGTGTCAGGCTGGAAGGCTGCAAGTCATTAATAGGTATTACGGTCTGCAGTAACATACATGCATTTCAAATTTTTTGGATTGAAATTCATGAGTGTGGGGAGTGGAGTTTCTGTATTTGGTGGAAGTCATCCTAGTGTGAGATGAGAAAATCCAGTAAAGAAAACAAGGTTAGTCCTCCTCTGCCAAGGAGGCAGAGGGGAAACTTGAGAAGTTTCCTGACTGTTCTGCATCTTTAGAGAAATTTTCTTTCGTTTTATAGTTCCTTTGATCCCTTTCAGCTGATACCATGCTGTTTATTCACTGAAGAAAAACAGGTATGTACTATGAGTGAATAATCAAGAGTGCTTTATTACTTAGGCTACTTTTCTTATACTCATTATTGCATTTTATCATTTCAGGAGCCTTTTCAGGTGAAAGTGTCTTCTGAAGCACTTTTAGTAATGGATTTGGTGAGGATTAAGTTTTATCTTTCAAAAAGCTGTAATATATATGTTGTGGGGCTTTGTTTGGTTTGTTGTTTGTTTGTTTTTAATGGACAACATAAGAAGATTGAGAAACACAGTACAGTTAACTTCTTTCTATTCAGACCTAGAAGTGAGAATCTAGTATTAAGTAAAGTCCCTAAAGATTAATGGTGGGTTTTTTTATACTGTGCGTAGTTTTTCTGGAAGGTAAATGGTTGTACACTAGTAAGAGCATTACTACTTAACTACTCGCTGTCATACTTTAAATATAATTTGCTTAAAGCTACTTTCTAAAATAGGCTGCTGTTTTGAAATCTTACGGGTTCATTTTCTACTGGTCTGGGAGGTGATCTTTTTGTTTATAAAGCAATGTGTGTTTTCATAACAACAGGCCATACCAAAATTGGTGCAGTTGTTCAGCACTGCACAGGCTTCAGTTTTTGAACTTCATGTATGGAAGTGTTATAAAATGCACTGTATACATGCACGCATATAATAAGCAAACATAATCTTTTCTGTTTACTTTAAATTGCAACACCGGGTGAGAATCTTCAGCTGTCCAAAGTTTACCTCCTAAATAGAAGTTACTGACTTGTAGCCGTGAAGCCAATGTATTCTGTTGCGTGCAGATCAAAGCTGGGAGAAATTATACAACTTGAACTTTAATAATTGTTTGATATCATTTTAGCACTCTCATGTGTCTATGGCAGAAGTAATAGGGCTTCTTGGTGGAAGATACTCTGAAGCTGATAAAACTGTAGAAGTAAGTGTTTGTCTTTTTACATTTTCTCTAAAATATTAGAACTGTTACAATAAAATATATAATTTGAATAGATGTAAATGTTATTTCTGAAGGGAGACTATTCTAATGTACTGAAGTTATTTACTGTAGCCTTGAAATGCTAGAGTTATGCTTATGTTCAAGTGTTGGCCTCTCAACTCTTATGATGAGGAAGGTCTGGTATATGAGTCTCAAAATTCTTCAAATTTTACTTAACTGATGGAGATTTCTTGCATTTATCTATCTGGAGACTTTTTTAACAGGTTTGTGCAGCAGAGCCATGCAATAGCCTCAGTACAGGACTGCAGTGTGAGATGGATCCAGTATCTCAAACGCAGGCCTCGGAAACACTGGCTGCCAGAGGTTACAGTGTTATTGGATGGTACCATTCCCACCCGGCCTTTGACCCCAACCCCTCAATACGAGATATTGACACTCAAGCTAAATACCAGGTACTCATGGGTCTGTATGTTAAAAATAAACAAATAGCAAGAAACCTCCCAACAACCCTAAAGCTTCCCCGGTATTTACAATGTTAACACCCATTGTTGCCCTAATGCATCTTTAAAATAAGTTCACTCATAAATTGACATAAATTCTATTTTACTTTTTTTTTTTTTTTTTTTTTTTTAAATTTCAGAATGCTGTTGTGACAAAGGTTGTATTTCTTGTATGTAGTTTTTTTTGTGTGTGTTTGGTTTTTTTTAGAGTTATTTCTCCCGGGGTGGCGCCATGTTCATTGGAATGATTATAAGTCCTTACAACCGAAATAATCCTCTTCCATATTCTCAGATTACTTGCCTAGTAATTAGCGATGAGATCAGCTCTGATGGTTCCTACCGTAAGTACCAATATTTTATCCATTGTGTTAATTTTTCTTTTCCTTTTGGACACTAAGGGGAAAAATGTCTGTTCTTGAACTTGAAAAATAGTTATTTATATATTTATTTTGGTAACTTGTGCTGTACTAAACCAGAAATTTCACTTAAAGAGTGACCCTGCAAGTAGTCCATGCTGTCATGACAGGAATATACAGGCGTAAAGAGAAGATTGCTTCTCTGTACTAATACTCTCCACAATCTGTGAAAGGAATTAAAGGGTTGGGACAGGGTTCACTGTTATTTACATACAGTATCCATGTATGTAAACTAAGAAACTGCTTCATGTGTATTACTTATACTTTGCCACATTACAAAATTCTGAGCAGATCCTCTGATTGAGGAGACAGAAGTATAATAGCAAGGAATTGGCGGCTATAGCGGCCAAAAATCCTTATTTGAGTAACTTAGCATTCAGAAGGTCAAAGGATCAAACTTGCCAGCTGTCCAGGAAAAGAGAAGATACGAACGATGAAGTGCTGTGCTGGCGTGAGTCCCAACCTAAGAGAACAAATTCTTGATTAAAAAGGTCACTGGCATTTCATGGCAATGGGATGTTTTCCTTCCTTGAATAGTTAAGAATGTATCATAAAATTCATGGTATTTTAAGTGATGATCAGATCTTCTGCTCATTCCCTGACATTAATTTGGGGATAATTCCCATGATAACAGTATATGGTTACAGTAGCTGCTTCTTCTCTCTCCTCCTCCCACTCCCTGTTTATGCATTCAAACTCGGAGGTTTCCAATTTCCTTGGCAAGGAAACAGCAGCAGCCGTGTGACCCGACAGTTCCCCCTCTGTTTTTTCCTGTGGAAGTAAGCAAGGGAGACCATCTGCCTGCAGACTTGCTTCAGAGTCCTAGGGGATGTGAAGTGGTGGCCACATCTGTGCAATAATTCCTGTTTACCGTACTGATAGTACCACGTTTTTATCCTCATTTCCTATTGTAGTGTGGAGTTAAAGTACTTAGAAACTTTATCTGCCCTTAGAAGGAGATACTTCTTTGGTCACATATATTTTCTGTGTGAGAGGACTTCATCTTCATGTTTATCTCCTGAAATGAGCTTTTTACAAAATGGTATCTCCTCTGGCTCTTTGGAATAGTTACGCTGTGGCAGTAGTGCAATAGTACTGTGCAAATGGACAAAAATCAGTATTTCATATGAGCCATCAATATTCCTATAGATTAATTCTTACTCTTGGAAATGCGTTCTGCACTGAACGCTTTTCACATTTGAGATATGTTCAAATAGCAAATTGTATTTATTGCTTTCTTTTCACTTACACTGAAGTACAGTTGCAAAGCACGCCTTTGATCTCACTTGATTCTTAGTATCTTGGAAAGGTGCTTTTTTGTTGTTGTTGTTTTTAAATGACTTACTGAAATTTACAGTCTTTCTTTCTCCCTGATTTTTGGTAATTGAATTGTGTTCTGCAAGGAATTTTCTGGTGTTCCCTTAGGATGCTTTCTAAATTCTTTTCCCACCTGCAATAAACTAGAAGAATTTCTTCGGGAACAAAATTCCTCTGAAACCTAGAACAATAATCAGCCACTTCATCAGCCAATTGATACATGAAAAACAAAACCTTTTTTAATAACCACACAGATCTTGGAGAGACTACCACAATGTCAGTGGTACTAGGTTATAAAAACTCAGTTTGTTTTGACACTTTTCTGTTGTGTTGTAGATTTCTGTGTGCTTTCTTATGGCCTGAAGAGTTGGTGAGGGCAGGGAGAACAGGTTTGTTCCCTACTCCCACCAAAATTAAATTTGGAATCCAAAGCACATCATACTTCTACTTTAACCTCCTGGCAGGTGACAGGACTGCAAGCTTCTGCAGTCAGTACTAAATGATGAACAGTTATGGGGAAGGAAGGTATTGCACCTAAAACTTTAAAAAAAAAAAAAAAAACAAAAAACCACAAAGCTGAATGTGCTGGAAACACTGAAAGTCATGTTCAACTGATTACAGGTCTGCCCTACAAATTTGAAGTACAGCAGATGTTGGAGGAACCTCAGTGGGAATTAATATTTGAAAAAACAAGATGGATAATTGAAAAATACAGATTCTGCCATAGGTATATGTCTACTTCTCTTATAAAGAACAGCCAGTTTAGAATTTTGCATGTTTATTATTGATGTTTCAATAAAGATGTCTGCTTTCTACAGCACTGCTATTTGTTTTTCTTTCAACAGCAGTGTCCCCATGAATAAAATTTTTCATAGAGATTCTGACCTGACTTGTTTGCAGAAAGTAAGTTTTTTGTCTTTTAAATTTTTAGTTTTAATTTTAAATGTTTTAAATACAAATCTGTTGCGTAACTTCACGTGACTTCTGATGATACATTTTTAGAACACAGATGTAAACTAATCACAATAAATGAGTTCCGTAGTGTAGCTTATTAACTTAGAAACAGAATGAAAATAATGTTCATTTGAGAGAGTTGGGGACAACAGTTGCATGCAGGTACCGAGTTTTAACCTGTTTGGAGAAGAATGAATGTCAAATTAATAATGTCTCTTCTCAGGATGTTGTATGCTTTCAGTGTTGAGAGCTGCATCCGTTTTGAGAGATGATTTGGACTTCCTAGTCCTTTGCTCAGTCAGTAGACTAGAGCTGTGCCATGTTTGTCATGCACAAGTGGGAACTTTCATCTTCCAGTCAGCGTAGTCATTGCCATGAAGTTGTAAATAACTATAGCTGTAACATTAATTGCACAAACAAGACAGAAAATCTGCCCAAAGCAAAAGACATAAACAGATAGCACATACACAATGACTACCCACATCTCTTTTTTTTTTTTTTTTTTCCTCCTCTCAACCTGACTTTGCTTATAAACAGCTTAAATCTAAAATTGAGTTGGTAGCATACTCCTGAATTTAGCTGTTGTGTAATTATTTTTAAAGAATTGGTTTTAAATCACCCATGTGTTCCTGTGTGACTGTTCCTTTGTGAAGTTTATATTGTGCAGTTGAACATTTTCTGTAGTGTTATGCCCAAATATATAAATAAAAATCCCTGTGGAATACGTACCAGCTAGAAAGGGGAAAAAAATAAACTGAGGAAAAATGACGATTCTAAAAAATCTCCTTTTCTCTTGACTAGCTTTTGGAGTGCATGAGGAAGACTTTGGGCAAGGTAACAAACTGCTTCATTGCTGAAGAGTTCTTGACTCAGATAGAAAATTTGTTCCTGTCCACATACAAGAGTGACAAAAAGAGTAATGATGCCGAAGAAAATGAGAATGAATGTTCAAATGAATTTCCAATGTGATGGCTTTAACAAAAAAAATGGTGGAATTCTGATTTTTTTTTTTTTCTCATTTTCTTCCCCTCCTCTCCTTCATGTCAACTCTTTCAGACTGATTATCCATTTTTAATAGTAACTGTTACAGAGTCCCATGTCATCTTACTGTTATGGTTTAAACATACTTTGAAAAACTCCTAATGTGTGTGATCCGACTTAATATGAACATCTTGTAAAAAAAACGAGTGCCACAGAATCGATCGATTGACCAACAGTCCACCACTTGGGAAGAAGGACAACCTGGCAAGAATTCTGAGCTTCAGTCTTCAAGGAGAGCTTGTCTTCTCTGAAGTCTTTCAGTTTGGGAACTTTCTATTTTTTTATCTACAGGTACCCATCTAACTTGGAATTAATTTGTTCCTTTAAAGATTGGAAGTTTGAATGAAATCAGAAAAGAGAAACTACAACTTAACTGAAAGGAAAATTTTGTAGCTCACTGATTGCAAGCTTTCCTGGTATCCAGTCTTAAGTTTTTTATTCAGTTGTAGTTTAGCACATCATTTGATTTCTCACCCCCCGCCCCCTCTTGATCCCTATGGTCAAGTAGCTTTCTGGCATGTTCTTTGCCATCTTGCTTCTATATTTTGGGAGGAAAAGCTGGCAAGTTTTCACGACTTCTCAGTAGTAGTTGTGCTTGTTTCCAGTGGAAATGGTAATTCCTGTCTTATTACAGGTTGCAGCCTTTCTGATCTTCCATTCTACGAGGAGATATTATGTTGTTCTGCCAGATCATTGTGATTTGTCTGCTTCTAATTGCCACTGTTTCCTATGGAAACAAGAGCTCTTGATTGATGACAAACTTAGCGCAACAAGGAGAAAAGTTTGTTTTCTAAAGAAAAAAAAAAAAGCCACCAACTTTTATATTCAGAGTCTTCTCTATAATGTGCGGTTCAATAAGAAAACATAACTGTTTTATATCAGTACTTCAGTTATAATTTCATACAAGTATATATTCAAGTTAATTAGAAACAGATTGATCTTGATTGAAAAGTTTCTTGATTGCAGCTCGGAAATGTTTCATGAGCTAGATCACTGTGAATCTTTATAGAAAAAATGTGCTTTAAATTTTGCTTTCTAAATCATGAGGAAACTTGACTTGTATACAGTTATTACTATGTACACAGATTTATCTTGAGCAAAGTTTCTCAGGTCTAAAATATATTTGAAAACATGAAGCAAGCAAGACCTTGAGCTTATATCTAGAGGGGAGACAATGGACTCAATTCTTACTTTAAATAAATATATATGTGTATATATCTAGTTCTATGTAACAGAAATGGAATTTAAGATTTTATACGTTTACATTTTTAACTTCAGCTTTTCATTTGTATAAAGAGTTTGAAAAGCTTTAAAATTGTAGAGTTGCATCCTAAGGAGGGAACTCCTTTACAGAAAGTTAAAATTACTTTTTTATTATGCCTCACAAAATGTTTGTCTCTTTCTGTTATTAAGTGGAAGGTGCAGAACCTGATCGTATGAAAATGGGAGCCCTTGATACTCAGTGATTCTCCCAACGCAGATTCAAGAGCAATGGGCTTAAAAATATTGGAGGATGTTCCATGCTCTCTTCTGTGCTCACATCTGCTGGTGCGCAGCTTTAGACCCCCCTACTATGTATAATTTACAAACTCGGTGTATCCATCTCTATAAGGCATGTTACTTGGTCTGCATATATTCTCAAATGTCATCTTTGGGACTTCCTAATTAAAAATATTGCATGGCTTTCTGTATTTCTAGTTTAAACTACACTCTTGATGAGAAGGCGTTCCTTCCCCGCTTAGTCGTGGCGTGGTCTGCAGTGTAAGGTATTCTTTCGCAGTTTTGCATAGGTTACTCTCTAGAAAAATCACACGGTATAAATGTATGTACTGAAAGCTGTAACTAGTTCTGATTTGTAGGAAGAGCATTTTGAACCTCTTGTGTAACAGCGATATGAAGTAGTTAATATTCATTGTCCACATACAGTCTATTTCCAACTATTTAAGGACGGATGTCAGTACTACCCAGGTAGTGGTAACAATGTGCTGGCTGCGTCTCTGTTTAATGATTAAAATGAGTTAAAGTAATACAGTTGTATTAATTGGATTTAACAGTGATGTTACATATGAAAAGTTTTGAGTAAAACATACTTTTGAAGCAGTTTGTCTCTTGAGAAGAGGCCATGGTGCAGTATTGAGCCTTCAATATGCACACAAAGATTCCAGATTTCTCCTAAGAGTTCATTAGCAGGGTGGTGTGGGAGCAGATGTAACTGCTAGTACCATTGTAATCCAGTATTATCACACGCTTTTTATGGGAATTGGAAATACCACATTTGTGATACTAAGTAATAATTTTGTTGGCAGGAGCCATGGTAAGAAAATAACATCGTTTTCATAACTTACTTTGACTGTGTGGTTAATTCAAGTTTGGAAGTTGCATGCTTCTAAGGAGATAAAAATCTAGTTTACTAATACTGCCAATTCTGCTACCAGACACATATAAGGCATTAAATTTTTTTATTGTGAAGCTTTTCTTGTCCCCCCTAGCTATTCCTTTTGTGCTGGCCTTGTTTTAGCATACCTGTTGTGGACGAACATGCTGTTTATTTAGGTAAGATCAGCTGTTAATGGTTGCTCAGGAGATGGGAAGTGGTTGAGCAGCAGGTAGAACTACACAGTTTAAACTGGAAGAATCAACAGTTTAAAAAAAAACAAACCAACCAACCCACCCCTAAGATATAACTGCTGGCAAATATCCCTTACAGGCATTTGTTGGCTGAGGCAAGTTTAGCTATCCCAGTTAGCAGCAGTGCTTCTCCACAGGGATGTACACCCTGTGTTCCAGGGGAAGGGAATGGTGGTTTTTTGTGGTGGTGTGTTTTTTTGTTTGGTGGGTTTGGTTTTTTTTTTTTTTAAATAAGTAACTTCCCAAGAACAATTCAGTTGAGGAAAACAAACAAACAAAATCCAAATCCCAACAAAACCAAACCCAAAACCAGCCAAACAAAGGAAGCTAACACCATTGGTATTGGGGTTTTTTAACTTTTGCTTGCTGCTTTGATATTCTTGACTGGTGGTTCACAAGAGTCTACTAATAAAGACTGGGTACACAGTACCTTGAAAGATGCGTTCCATATTTGTAACAGCTTCTTGTCTCTTGGGCATTGGATATGGTATTTCTTTATTCCAAGTTGTATCGATAACCAGGTGATTCAGCAAGGTTTAATACCGCTAGAGGGAGCTTTGTCATAGCTGATACAAAAAAGGGTTTGAACTAAGCACAAAACTGTTCCTACTACTGCGTGTAAACTTCTGGCTAGTGATTAAATTTTATGGGCAGTAGCCATGTACCTCGGTATAGATTTGTTTCTTTCATTTGTTCTTAAAACCCTCTGCTTTAGTCTCCTTCAGAAAACTATCCCCTGGTACTTGGTGGCAGGGATGCCAGGATGGTAGATTGGTGTTTTCCACACTGTTTTCACAGAGAAGCCTGGCTGTAGGATCACGTAAGTAATGTAACAGGTTTGTTCTCATGGGCAACTCCAGTGAATTTGGAAGGTGGTCACCAAGTACCTTTCAAACAGTTGTTTTCATTACCCAAATTTGATGCAAGTGCGTTGGTTCTAGCTCTATTGCTGCCAGCAGCAGGAGCCAGATTAACTCTTCCCTGCTGTGCTAGCAGAGAATTTGGTCTGCTGGGTGTTACTGAGCTATGAATACATCGTGTTGTGTAGGGGTAAGAGACGCCATGGAGGCGGAAAGCAACCAGCACGGAGTAAGGCACACCTCGAAAGGCGTGCTGTGGCAGAGCAGCGTGCCCCGGCGTCTGCTGGGGAAGGGAAAGTGCTGCGCTGTTGCCGCAAACCCCACCATGGAGGCGAGGGCCGCCAGGATGTGTGCGGGGTGACTTCATCCGGCCCCACAGAGCCGGCACATGGGAAGTAGCTGGTTGTTAACATCCCAGTGAACATTGTAATCATATTTGATACTGAACGAAGTATTTAATGGCCTAGATAAAAGCATTCTGGTTGTTTAATTGGAAATGTCTTGCTGTTTTACATAGACCTAGTGCCCTACTTTTATGAGATTTAGAATTGTGCTGAGAAACTGTTTCCATGGAAGCAGAGATCACTAAAGAAATAATGCACTCCACATTTCCTGCAGGATTATTCCTTTTACAGCCTGCTGTTCTAAATAATTAACTCTTATAGTGCCATTACAGCTTAGCATGGATTAAAGCAAATAATACTTTTTTCAGTGGTTACAGAGACATAACATATACATTTTTTTATGTATGAATATATATGTATAGAGACATTTGGAAAGACTTATCTTTAAAATAAATGTTGTCTCCTTATTTACAGAGGGGGAAATCGGTATAAAAACATCAGTAGAAAAGTACCCTTTCATTTTGGCAAATCATGCAGCTCTGTTAGGGAAACTTAAGATTATTCCTTCTTTGCCCTTCTCTTGCCACTGTTCTACACTTTTTGCTTAGTGATGGGTATATTCTAAAACCATCGTTGTGCTTCTGGCCACCTTTGAGGGAAGAGACAATGCAGTTTTTAATTAAGGTAATGGCAATGAGAATCTTCCACCAGTAGGGAAAACAGACCCGTTTAGTTACCTATGTTTTTTCTTCCGTAAGTTACTTTTGACAAAACAGTTAATTTTTCTCTACTTCACGGTAAGTACCTGTAAAAAGGGGAAACTGTCAAATAATAATACGAGGCACATCTGCAAACATCCTACAAGCAAACTCCTATTTACCAAAAAGTCCCATTGCTGCCCACCCATATAGTGCTTTCTAAGCACAAGGGCAGCGCAGCTCTTGGCCGTATAGAAATTGCCATTGCTTCACTGAAGCTGGTCGTGAGCTGCAAGTGCACAGCAGTTGAGGCTCTCCTCCAGAGAGAAGAGAAACAAAACCTACTCTCTCTAAAGTTCATAATGTGAAACAAAATAAGGATAATATATGAGTATGTAGGTGATGGTTAAATGGATTTTTACTTTCAAAAAGGGATGTGAAATTTAAAAAAAAAATTATTTTAAGTAAATGAATGACTTAAAAATTCAAAATGGGAAAAGAGTTACTAAGCTATTATCAAAGAATCATCAATATGGCAACTTGAAATACGTAGCAATTTTTGTAATAATTTTAACTGTGGATCTCAATTATTTTCTAAGAAAGGTAACTACTATTATTTTTGTAACTACTATTATTTTTACCCGAAGGAAGGGGAAAGGGAGAGGTGTAACAATGTGCTGTAAAGGAGCCAGGAATAATTTGAAGAACTCGCCTCATCTTTGCTCCCTCAAGTAGTGTGTGCTTTTTGTGGCTTAGTTAGGAATAGCTTGAGCTGCAAAGTTCAACTCCAGATTGTGCCCTTCTCTAGCAGTAGAGGGTTTTTACCTCTGGAGCTCTAACTTTAAACCTGTACTGTGTTACAAATACCCACTGGCAGCCAGGGTAACTTCCTGCTGCTCACACAGATGCAAGCCATCACTACAAGTAGCCCAGCTTGCATTGATTTGAAGTGGGGCTGGCCTTCAGGAAAACAGCAGCATGGGTGAAAGCAGCTTGACCGCAAGGCAGAGTGCAAGTTGTGTGGGTGGGAGAATGTCATATATGCTGTTCTGTGGTTGTTACTGGTCCCAAAATAATGATTTATAAAGTGTCTGACAGTGTTTGACAGATCAGATGAATGGGACTTGCTTAATGACAAACTGGAAAATCTCTTTTGGCTGCTGCCAAAACACATGGAAAGGGTAACTCATGCTTTGTAGATTGTTAGGGCGCTTGGGAGCTGCCGGAGCGTACTGTGAAAGGCATTACTCAAAGTTCACATTGAAAAATTTCTTCAGTAACAGCTAACAACTTTGTAAGGGTAATGCAAGCATGAAAATCATCATTCCTAGTACTGCCTTGGGATGAGTATGTGCCAAAGGAAAGCGGGGAGAGCAGCGTTCCATGCTGGAAGATGAGACTGCGCTCCTGTGCTCTGTAGGTAGGAGAGCAGCCATCAAATTGATGAACAGTCATTCCTCCTGAACTGGCAGCTACTCCAGGCAGCATACGTAAAACTCCAAAAGGCTTTATTTTGTAAATATATGAAGGTAGAAAGGAGGAAGTCCATAACCGAGAAGTATCTAGACAATGGAATGATACAGAAGCTGTGTGATAGAAGGTACAGGAAAAACCGTGGTGGAAGTGGAGGAGTAGGATTTCTTCCAACAGAAATGAGAGAAATTCCTTAAACGTGCATTTACATAGTCCATAAAAAGTCTAAAGAAGGAAAAGGACGAGGTGCTTGTGCTTTAATCCATAAGGGAAGCCCAAGGTAGGAGCTGCGCTTCAGGCTGGCTTTTGTCTCTTCCCTGTTGTTTCAAGTAAGAGGGATGGCAGGCAGCTGGAGGCAGGCATTGGTGCCACCTCCAGAGAAGGAACAGATGAAGGTGCAGTGTGTTGACTTGCCTAGCATTTGGGTAGGAGATGCCAGTTGTTTTGGAAGGAGAACCTGTTAGGTGAGTGGGTCTGATTTCAATCTTGATAAATGGAGCAGCATGCCAGCGTGTTAGAAACGAGTAGACTCCATGAATGGATTAAAGCTTCAGATACTGTCTGCTATCACTTGGGACGTCATCCATGCTTTTCACCTGCAATATGGAGCCTCTGTTTGGGTTTTTGCTGGGTTTGATTCTGGCAGTAGCTTCATCAGCACAGAACTGTTATCTGTGCAACCAACAAGTGGATGGTATGTGCCCAGGATGCCTTTGGGAACTGCACCTGCATGCTGGTGGGTTCAAATCACAGGGTGGACTGCTCAATGCTGACTTCAAAATGCTTGCTGATGAAGGCAGAAATGGTCCCCATGAAGGAGAAGCGCTTTCGGGGCCGTCCCCGTGGGCTGTTAGACAACGATAGCATTTACAATCCAGACTGCGAGGAGAGTGGTATCTTCAAAGCCAGGCAGTGCACTCAAACCGATACGTGCTGGTGTGTGAACACTGCTGGAGTAAGAAGAACTGAAAAGGGTGGCAAAAGCCTGAATTGCGGTGAACTGGTTAGAACAAGCTGGATCTACATTGAGCTGAAGCACAAAAAAAGGTCCAGTGCCCTTGATGTTCCTGATGTAGCAAAAGTCCTGAAACATCTGTTTGAGAGCCGATACAAACTGCACCCCAAGTACATTGCAGCCGTTAAGTATGATTCCCCACTTACCCAAATCTGCCTGAACCAGAATGGCTCTGAGAAATCTAGGTATGATGTAGATACAGCTGATGTAGCCTGTTACTTTGAAAAAGATATGAAAGATGAGTCCATATTTCATTCTAACAGTACATTAACTGTTGCTGGCAATGGACATGCTCTTGATATTGAAAAAATAAGGATTTACTATCTTGATGAAAAGCCACCGGAGTTTTGCATGAAACAACTGGTTGCTGGCATCAGTGCTGTGGTGACAGTAGTGGTACTGACTGCTGGCCTGGGCATCGCTGTGCTGGTTATTCTGAGGTGGCTGCGGACAAGAGAATATGAGAAAGCTGAGATTAAAGAAATGGGTGAAATAAGAGCACCAAGCTGAAAAAAGAAAGGCAACAACAGGAAGGAAAAAGAAAAAAGCACAAGATACAAATGGCAAAGAGACTCGGGTGGATGTGGATGGATTTGGAGAGGGTTTTTTCCTTTTTTGAGGAATTTATACAGTGATTGTTGTAATTATTCTAGTTTACTAAGAATGACTTTTTTGGGGTATAAACTAATTTAGGAGTCAGTTACCTAAACATTTTAAATGAGTCCCAATGTAGAGGCTAAGAAAACTGTTACAGCTGTCTATTTAGCGTAACAGAACGCTTTCACTAGTACTGCAGATCTGGTTCAGCTTGCTTAAATACTCTGAGTGGTTCTTGTTATATCTACTTACTGAAATTCAAATACTTGCCTTGACATAATTGGGTTATATAGCTGCTTTTCTGTTGGTAAAGACTTTTTTTTTTTTAAATGAGGGGTTTTAAAAGTTGATGGAACTTCTTAATCAACAAGTAATTTCATAAATATTACTAAATAACATAAGGTTTTGATAAGATACTCTATAGCACCGGAGGCTTTTATACTGAGTCATTTGTTAGGAAGCATTCCTGTGGTTGCTTCCAGGTGCAGAGATCCTGAATTTCTGAGTTTGTATTCAGGCAGTGCAGTGAGTTATTCCCACTTGTGCTCTTTAACAAGGGTCTGACACTCCTAGTCAGCAAAGATCCCTTGATCCCAGCGCAAGTGTAAGTTAACCTTGGTGTTCTGCCCAAATTCAAACTCTGGTAATAGCTTTCTGTCTACCTAAATTCCCCTTGCAATTTTAATGGGAGGAGATATTTTTCAGTGTTGTACAGCTTCACAGAAATACTACACAATGCTTCAGGACAGATGAAAAAGAGCTTTATTCTAGTAGAGCTGCGGGGGGAATTTAAGAGCAGAGTGTAATTACTGAAGTTGGAATTTGGCCAAGACACTAGACCTGGACTTCTTTGCTACCTACTCATCTGCTACATTCCTTGTTTGGGAGGTCATATCCACCATGAAGGACTTTTTAAAGAAAATAAGGCTAGTTGTTAAATGTTGAAATATTGGCGGTTATATTCTCTGTACACTGTATGGATGTCTGAAGTCCCATCAGTCTGATCTGCTTACGTTCAAAATGAGACCACTACACCCAGGCACTGCAGCAGGGTCAGCTCATTTATTCTGTTAATTAGTTTCAACATTACTAGTTTGTAATTCTGGTAAAAGTCATTAATGCACTACTTCTGGGACAAACTGTTAAATATGCATTTCTGATTCTACTGAATGAATAGGATACCAGGAAAAAAATGAAGCTGCTTTGATTCTCTTTCTGCCTTTGTTTATATAGAAGAGGAAGAGACTTGCTGTTTGGGGAGTGGGGGTGTTTGTTCAGTATGTTCTGGCTCAACATGCACCATTTCCATTTAACCTCATTCTTGTTCGCTTAAGTGCTGGAAAAATTTGGACACAGCACGAGGCGGATGCATCATGTTTCCCCAAAAGAAGATTTATATGCAACTGTATCAGCAGTATTAAGATACTCAGAAGCTTTTGGAGCAAGGCTTATAATTTATTGTGTGCCTTATGGCAACACGTCCAAGCTGCTGGTTGTGTTTTGGTCAAGTATATACATTAGTACTGATAGAAGATGAGGTGAGAATTTAATATCTAGGCTGGATTTTCCCAAGTCATAAGAAAATTCAGAACTCAGCCTAACTCCACACAATTTTGCAATTAGGCTTTTATAAAATTAATTAAATTAAAAATCTGGAGCCGAGTTGCCCTCGGTGCTAAAGAAATGTAGGATCAGAATGAAAATTTTCCAAGTCCACTGCTTAACCACTTTCCTAACTTATGCAGAGCTGATACAAGCTGTGTGTTTGAGAGATTGGTGCTGTCCTTCCATCAGAGAAGATCATGAGATGTGCCTTCTTTTCTGGGGATCTCCTGACTTTCAACATTCTTTTAAAATCACTGCATTTTTCTCATTTCTGTCATACTGAAAAAAAATATTTTGGAGGTAAATTATGAGATTTTGATTTAAAGCAGAATATAAACATCTGGGCATAAATTTGATTAGCAGAGGCAAAAGTGACTTAAAAAAATTTTAACAGGTAACAGTTTCTTTGGCTCCTGCTTTTCTCTTCAGAAGCTGAGATTGAGAAGAGAAGCTGTTGTGGTGCCATTCGTATTTTTATTAATCATTAAAGGACTCCCCATGAAAATAGTGTGTTGTGGACAGTTATTTCCTTGCTAGTCATCAAGCACCAGTAGACTGCATGCTGCTAGGGGACTGGAAATGCGCTAGGGTCATTTAATAGGAGTGATAAGGTATGTCTCTGTAATTAATCAAAAGAATGGGAAGATTAATTGCAGTGCAGAGCTTGAAGAACCTCTCTTTGGATTAGATCGTTCTACTTGAATAAAGCTATGTAAAGCTACTGTTGGATCCAGACTTTAATAAACCACACATACCCATTGCTCAGCAAAGTGCTCCTTTCTCTCCTGCTGCCCCAGTCATGCCACCTCTCAGGCTACATATGGGCATCTTTTTTTGCACATGGTAGGTCAAGTATTTTACTGTAACAGCCCATGATGTTCAGCTGCTGATGTTCTCACTGAAAAGGAGAAAATTATCTCATTGTCAGCTTTAAATTTTGCAAAATTAAAATGCTTTTTATTATTCATTGTAACTTAGAAATTCGTAGTTATCCTTTTCCTGATTATATCATCCTCTTTTAATGGCGTGTTTTCCATCGTATTTAAGTAATTAGGCTTTATACTCTGTGCACTGGGCTCTGTGGGTACAGCCAGCATGGTGATAGCGATGGTGGTTTTATGTTCCAGGCAGCACTGGCTGACAGCTTTCAAGCAGTGCCCTGAACAAGGTGATTAACATCCATCTTGTGTCAGTTCCCGTGGGGTCTGCTCTGGCATAAATGTATTCAGGGGATTGTCTTGTTCTGGAATGCTGTTTTAATACTCTGTATGTATAAATACATACATAACTGTGCATCGGTCTGTGGGTGGACACAGAAATAAACCCATAGCTGATATGAAAGAGTGCCTTTGTGCTGTTACCTGCCTGGATTATACAACAGGGGCTATGCTTGCTTTAATGAAGGTAGTGCTCTCCGTTGCCTAAATTATATTCTGCATTTCCAGCTGGTGAAGGGCTGCCTTGGAAAGCCCAAAATAACTGCAGGCAGAGAAAAAAATCCTGTCTACAACTCTGAAGAGGATAGTGCTGCCCTCTCTATAGAGAGCTACTAGCCTTGTGCCACTGCACAAAGTGGGTTTGGGCCTTCGCTTCTAACTTTTAGTTAAAACTTTTTTAACAACTCAAGATCTGAGGGAAGTGCCAGAAGCAATGCCAGCACTACAGCAAGGAAATGAAAGATAAGGACCCATGGAAGGATTAAAACCCTCTCAAACTCTGTTCCCTCTATCCCCTTGGTAAAGCTTGCCTGCTTATATACGCAAATATGTATTCTCGAATGCATGACACAAAATTCCTGCATTTGTTTGCAGATGACTGGTGTGTCTACACACACGTTCGTTCCCACACCTACACTTAAAGGCGCACACATCACTATTGATGTTAGAGCAGGCAAGCCCCAGGGAGGGCTTGTGGCAGCAGATCCTATGTTGTATTCAGCCAGCCTGCAGCCTGCCCTATCTCTTATCAGTGGTAAAATAGCCCAAACCTGCTGTTCTGGAACAACAAAGAAAATCCTCCTCTTGTTCCATCTTCCCCCAATTAAGAATAATCTCTTTATGGCTGTTTAGACTGGGATTATGGCCAGATTAGGTCAACGATGTGAAACAAAACACCTGCCGCATAAATGCACCCTCTCTTCTTGTTTAGAGGGTGAAACAGCAGCATGTCTGTGATGTTAAGCACCTAATGACAACTAGATACAAGATCATCCCAATAGTCCCTAAAATGTATAAACCTCAGGGAATCAGCTGTAGAAAAAACAAACCACTTTTTCAGAGAATAGTTAAAGAAGTAACAAATTGGCCCTTCCTCCACTTCTCCCTAATTGGACCAGTTAATGCTATTAAACAGATAGTCTTCCTCGTGCAGGTATAATTATCCTTTCTGAAGCGTTTCCACTGAGTTGCCTAAGGGTTTTAAGCACTGCAATTACCTCCTTTTTTAATGCTAAAATTAATCTTGAGTCATTACAATTGCTATCACAGCAGGAGAAATCAACTTCCAGAACTTTTACAATTATTATTCAGCAGTTCTAACAAAATTCTTTGTACCAGGATTTATCTAGTTAAAATTTCATACACACTAGGCAGCCTGACAAGATTCACATCTCATTTTCACGATGATCCCTCTTCCCCAAGGAATAACACACTTACAGTCCTACTCCAGCACAAATCAAGCACCAGAGAAACAATTAGGGAGACTTTGTATTATCTAAATGAAAGACTGAATGAGAATGCATTTCTAATTTTCCACTGAGATTTTCACATGTGGGCCCAACAGTACTGGTGGCATATGCACCCAACCTTTTTCAGCTAAGTTTTTTCTGGAATAAATGTCTGTCCTTGTAAGGCTTGAAATGAGAAACTTCAGCATTTTTGCTAGTCTGGTTGCACCCAGAAAAGCTAAGTGGAACAACTAGAAAGTAATTGGATGCGGCTATGCTGTAGCCACTGCACTGTGCAGCGCAGACACACTCATTTTTAGCACGTCTGTTGAGTTCTCTTTTTTTCTCCTGTCTTCGTGTGTTCTTTTCTGTTACTGGAAATAATACAGCTTTAGAATGGTCTCAATTCTGCTGAAGGACTTATGCAAAAAAAAAAAAAAAAAGAATATAGAAAGTTAATTAACGCTCCCCCTTTTCAGCCTCTCCCAATAAATCTTGCATTTTAGCAAGCTAGTAGATGAATTCTGTGATATTTACTATTTTCACTGATGGTTTTATGCAGGTTAGCTGCTTTAAAAGCAGTTTACAAATTATGTGCAAGAATTAGAAGCTCAGAGAATAAAAATTATGAAGTGATAGATTATCAGAATTTCTACCAGTTTTGCAACTCCTAGGTATCCAAGCTGCCCTCTAAACCACAATGATTGTCAGATCTGTAAGCTGAAAGCAATACGTAATGCTGGAGTTCATTTTCGTTACTTCATTTTAAGGCCCTCAAAATCGGAAATCCCTAAAATCTAATCTGAATATTTGTACATTTGGTTCCTTAACTCCCAGTATCTTGTCTGTATTTATCTTACCCCAGAGAAGAAGAAAAACAGCTAACGCACTTAACTCTGGCTTGGCTAGCATCCTGGGGCAGCAAGGTACACACCACCAGCCCAAATCAATGTAAAACTGGCAGGACTAAGTGATTCCCAGGACTGCCAGTGCTGAATAAATGGCACTAACAAACTGGAGCTCTGGGATATCAGAATCAATTCCTTAGTACGAAGGCATCCAGTAGTCTTTTGTGGCTTTTACTGAGAGTCTTTCATTAAAATACTGTAAAATAGCAAGCAAAGAACCCTTCTTACTCACAACCTCTTCACACATGTTTTGGAAAGGACGGACTGTATTGAATTTTGTAACAACTTTTAGAGGACCAGTTTTTGCAGTAAACTTCTGTTTGGTTGAGTAACTTCATCTTCCGGATTTTGAATCCACTTTTTTTTTTGCTTCAACAACATAGATAGTAAGCAGAAATAGGTATTACCTATTACATTCTTAAATACCGTCTACTAACTCGAATGTCAGTGGGGCAAGGGAGGGCAAGGGACACAATGCAATACACTCAGGGGGGATCAAGGCAGGATTTTCTAGTGAACAACATTTGGAAAAATCTTGCTATTTATGAAAAGTGTTGCCTAGTCTTTTAAGTGCATGTGAACTGGGATTTCACCTGGCCAAACAGGCTAAGTGGCACTCAATCCGATTTCTGACTTGCAGAAGGCTGATTGACTGCATTGTTTCTGCTAAGATTTTAGCCCAACATGAATGTGCAGAAGTGAATTACACTGAAACTTGAATGACAAAACCACCAATTAATACTTAGTTTTTACTTGGATTTATATAAAAGCCAAATATTTTATTATTTTATAGTAAGTTTTTATTTGAAGCTGAAGAGTGTACATTTTAACTGACAACTTTTCTAATTGCTATGATCAAAATTGGTAGCAGGGAGACTTTAGTACCAGATTTTTTCCACCTGAATATACAGAAAAATATTTTCTTTTTACTTATAGTTAAACTGGTTTTCATTACTTTTATTGGATTTGACATTGGCTTGTGTAGATAATTTCACATGTATACAAAATCTCATTCAGTTCAGTACAACTACTTACACAGAGAGATACACAAATACTAACAGACTTCTACACAGGAAAATTCTACCTGTTACAGTATTAATTGATTAATTGTGCTACGGACTACTGCTCAGTGTACTTGTATTTGTAGAGTGTATGTGGAGAGCAAAAGCTTTAATAAGCTCACATCTAGTCAGTCAAGGGGTTTTGATATTAAGTGGTTTCCTCCACAGCAACTTGAAGCAAAAATTTGGGGACAGGTGATGATAAATGACTCTGTGAGCTCCATCCTACCATGTGCAGAGTTCACAGGTGTTTCATATGCATTTCATCTCTGAAAAAAAAAAAAAAAAAGACAGCTGTGAAAATGCTTCACGATCTGAACTCACTCTACAGATCAGTTTTTCAGCAATGAAATTCAGTGCCATGCTAAGGTTCATCAGAAAACCTATACATCACTTAAGACCTCTAAGTGAGTCTTTATGCAGTCTTAAGGCATGAAAGCTTGCCTTCCGGTCTTCTTTGTAAATGTGAATTACAGTCTTTTTTTGAAGAAGTGGTGAGGCTAGAAAACAAAATCTCACCTACAAACAGACTCTTCACATATCTCCAAAGCATAGGACTTTATTTCCTCAGAAAAAAAATAGTTCTATGTATATATATTCATTGAAATTCAAGAGGAGGCATGGTATAAATGACTAGGTAGAATGTTTTTTTAACTGCCTATCTATTTAGAGAAAAACACCACTTTATAACTATCCAGTTGCTCAACTGTTTACCAGATTTTCATAGATAGAGACATTTAGTGTTGCTATCTGATAGAGAGGTCCTATAATTACCTCTGCTGTATTTGCTGCTTGTCTGCTTTGAGGTTTTAGTTATAAGTGATGCCACTTGGGGTGACTTTAGAAGTGCAGAATGTAGAATACAATTTTTCACACCGTTTGCACACCCAAAACATCCATTGATGGAGAGTCAGGAATGCAGAAATAGCTCCTATACCCTCTATGTAGACAGATTTAAGTAATGCAATTGGAGAAACAATAGCAACAAGAAATATGCAAAGAAAAAACACAACATTTTCAGCTGACTTGAAAAAAAGTGGAGACCCTGTGAGGTAGAAGAATGAAATTTGCTCCACAGAACAAGTGGTAGAAAGCCTTCATGCTTGGCTTAGAAACAGGGAATTCTAGCTAAAGAAGACAAGAAAAGCAGGCAAATACGAAGTCTAAGAAATAAGAACATGAAGCATCTGCAGACATTCACGAGAGCTTCTATCTCAGTTGTTTATTTTTGGCAGCTGGGACACACACAGGCCTTAGGTTAGACAAAGTGCTTTTCGTGACTGGAGCTGACAGCCACAAAAATAATGTCGTGCTAATTGACAGGCAGATTTTACTCTTTATGCCCCTTAATGATAATATAGTCTGGGCAGGTCCTAAAGGAATTGTGTCTACTGAAGACAGGCTTTCTACCTATCACTACGTAAGGTTTCTTCTTGGCCTGGACTCCAAGATCTGGTCAGTATGTGTTTTCCTTAGCAGCAGACATGAATGCTTTAGGCCTCAGTAACAGAGGGATAGACTAGTATCTCAGCAAACACTGAACAATACTTGACTGTGCTCATACACTGAGTACGTGACTGCTGAAGGCAAAGATCTGTGTTTCTTTACCTTTTGCAATGAGAGGGCCTTTGTTTACATGCAAATCCCCAGGGCTTGTATGAAGTCTGGGCTACCCTGTCATTACCACACCTGTCCCTGCCTCACCCTTTCATTCAGCAAATAAATGATGTGATGTGAAAAACAGGTTAAGATGTATGTCTGCCAGGTAGATGAGTAGGCCAAAAGTTACATATTAGATTAGCAGCTTGCCATTTTCCTGGATTTGGGAAAAGCCAAACACCACCTCCTCACCTACCACTGCCACAGCAGAGCTGACTGCTCCCTCCCACAAGAGTGTCACCAGCCCTCTCTGGTAGCAGGAAGCACTTCCAGACTTCAAGTCTCCAAAAACAGCAAGCAAACCCAAGACATAACACCCAGGACCTCTGAAAGCTGAAGGGGCCTAAAGATCTGGCTCGGGACCTCTGTAACAGCCAGGCCCAGCGACACAGGAATCGGGGCCAACCCCAGCCGTGAGGTGAGGCAGGGCAGCGCACAGGCCTCACAGCAACACCATGGGGAAAGCCAGGGGGAAAGGCAACAGAGGAGAAGGGATGGCAGCAGCGCGGCTCTGCGCCTCCTGAAGGGACACCCCAGCCAGCCCCGCTCCACAGCCGGGCC